TTTAGTTTATTTTCCGACTTCCCTTACTAGAACTTAAGCTGCCCAGGGGCAAGAATTTGTCTCTTTTGTGCACTTCTTCATCACCAACACTAAGAATCGTTCCTGGCACAAGCAAGCATTCACTGGACAGATAACATAATGCCCTTTAATGAATAATCCATTCAGATGCAATGATGAAGAAGTAAGTGTGTCAGGGCTGCCATATGCACAGCAAACAGGGGCTGAGAGCACAGATTCTAGGGACAGACTGTCTGGCCCTGTCCCTGTCTCCACCAGTTATCAACTGTGCAACCTCATCAAGCTTTCAAATCTCAAATGCCTCACAGGTACAGTAGGGGTAATCATAGTGTCTATTCCTTATGTGCTGTGAGGATTAACTGAGCTCATGCATTTAAGGGAACACAGGATAGTGCCTGGCACATCATAAACAGGTTAACTACCATCAGTATGTTGACAGAAAAAAAAAAATCCAGAGACATAYTCTAAATGTGTTTTAATTACATACAAATATAGATGCATCTATTAGCAATATATTAAATATAGCTTTTAGAATAACATTGAATGATAATTTATGATTTCTAGTAATTAATTCTATAGATAGGTGAAAATTCTAATTTTGCTCACTTCCTCTCTCATATTCTCACTTAAAAAAGGTTTTGGATAYAACAAGAGTTAAAAAGATTTTAAATTCCCTTTAACACTAAGTAAATGAAAAAAAAAATCAGTTTGCATAAACCAAGCAAGAAGTTGTACCACTCAGGAGGAGAAAAGAGAAACCTGTAACAATAGACAGGTTATTACACGTTTCGGATATTCCACTGTCCTGCAAGGAATTTATTAACCTGCCACAGACTGAATTAAAACAAGAGTTTACCCGTGGTATTTCTCTTTTTCTGGAGAAAAGTAAAAGCCGACTCTTTCATGAGGCCTCGGCCACACCCTCACATATCCATTTGTGTGGCTGAGGCAGGAACCAGCAAAGGCGTCCCCAGGCAACTGAAAGACCCACAGGGCAGGGAGGACATTCTGTACCACTTCTGGAATCCTACCTGGCTCAAGGTAGTCACTGAAAAGGCAACTGCATGATTCAGTGGGAAACACACACTCTTACGATGGAAACCTGCTCAGAACCAGTGCTACCTGAAGCTGCGATCCTGACGTACCTATCTAGGTTACTTACTCAGCAGCACTCACTTTTGATAACCATAGRGAATAAATTTGTATCATGGAAATTTAGCCAAGGGTCTGAAGTGTACCACGGTTTCTAAACCATTCCGTTGTTGAGCTCAAGAATTTTCTTTCTTTATTCAGGAACTCACRATCCTACCCACAGTTCTTCTTTAATAATGTGAGGGCTGAGAGCTTGGACTCCAGAGTTTACCACCTTGTCTGAATCCCACCTCAGCCACTTCCCAGCTACATAACACCAGAAAAACCCTCCATGGTGGTTTCCTAATCTATAATATGGGAGGAGGCCTCAGAAAATTATTCTGAGTGTAATATGGATTCATYGGTGAAATGATTAAAACAGAACCTGGAACTTGGTATACATTCAACAGCGTGAGCTGCTATGGCTGGCATTATAGACATAAGTTTTATCATTATTTCATCTTACTTATTTAACTAAGTGTGTTAAAAAAAATACATACTCCCAAGAAGCCAAAGTACTTTGGATTTGGCTTCTCATAAGCTGAGTCAGTTTTATATAAATTCTCCCATTTTGACAAAACAGAAGAGATCCATTCAGTTTAATTATAAATCTTTCTCACACTCATTCTAAATCTTCAAGAAAATGGCTATTTTAACTCTGGGTCTGGTTTTCCACTTAGTTCTCTGAAAGAATTTATTGAAAACCCTATACAGGCTGGAACATTCCTGCTGCTCACCTTTTCAGCAAAGTAACTTTGTACAAATACAGTGGATATTCGTTTGGTTTCAATKTTCGAAGACACAAACACTGCATTGTATAAGAAATAGCAACAGGCTCTCAGTGATCTGAAGGCGCATTGTTTTTGTTCCTTGATTCTTCTGTTCTACTCTGTGATGATTACAGTTCCTCTCCCCAACACAAAAACACCTTTCAATTTATTGTGAACATCCAAACAAATAAGTTGCCATCAATTTTTTAAAAACATAACAGCATAATCAAGTTAGTCCTTGACTTCGTCTGCTCAGGCTGCCTTAACAAATATCATAAACTATTGTACTTTAAATGAAATTTATTTCCTCGTGGTTCTGGAGGTTAAGAAGTCTTATCAGCTCATGGTATCAGCTGATTTGGTTCTAGTTGGGACCCTCCTCCTGCCTTGAAGCTGGACACCTTTTCACCAAGTCTCACAGGGTAGAGAGGGAGTCCTGGTGTTTTTCCTCTTCTTAGAAGGGCACCAATCCTATTGGCTCAGGGTCTCATCTTTATGACTTCCTTTAAATCTTCATCACTTCCTTAGTCCCATTAAAATTCATGGCTTCCACATACAAATTTGGGGTGATAAGACTACTTGGTCTATAAATCTTCTAACCTCTCAAACATAAAACTCTAATTCAAATCCATAACATTTCTAGTTACATAAAATTTTCTTCCTTTATATATGGGAAAACCACTAGGTAAATTATAATTTAACTCGGACTAAAAAATTTTTGTTTTCTTGGTACTGGGGATTGAACCCAGGGAAGTTTTACCACTGAGCTATACCCCCCGCCCTTTTTATCATGAGACAGTTGCCAACCCCGGGCTCAAACTTGGAATCTTCATGCCTTGGCCTCCCCAATAGCTGGGATTACAGGCATATACCACTGTGCCCAATGGCATTTAAATTTTAAAAATTTGAATGCATAACTTAGTTATCAAGCTCATTGACACAGGATAACAAAAGCTTCAGTCATTTTCCCTGTCCCTTCATAAAACAATACAGATCACTTTTCCCTAAGATAGGACATTATGTAGCACACACTGAAAGGATTCAAAAAATATTTCAGGGTTTAATGGGAATGGTCACCTACCTAAAATAATTCTATCTTTTAAAATATACCCTGGGTACTGGCCTGATTTTTTTTAATATTCATTTTTTTAGTCTTAGGTGGACACAATATCTTTATTTTTATTTTTATGTGGTGTTGAGGATCGAACCCAGCGCCCTGCGTGTGTGCCAGGTGAGTGCGCTACCGCTTAAGCAACATCCCCAGCCCCCGATTTCTTAAAAGTGTGYGCACTTAAGTTTTCTGGGATTTGAGCATCATGTGGTTCAGAGAATCATACTAGTAGCAGCCATGACTCAGAAAATTAGATGAGCTCCAAACTGCACCTAGAAAGATAGGACTACAAAAGCTGACAGGATCCTAGAGTCCCAAGCTTTACACTCGACAGATGTGAAAGCTGATGGTCAGGGAGGGTAAATGACTTACTGTCTATGGCAGCTCATGGGTCAGAGTGATATTAGAACACAAGGCTCCTCACCACAGGCCATAGCTCCACATGCCTCCAAGCCACAGGTTCTTCCAAATAGGAAGGGAACTCCCCACACCCTGGCAAACACTGTGTGCCTTGTGAGGCAGCAACAGTGAGAACCAGAGCTTTGATCTCTCTCTCACACCCTGATTCCCAACTCTGGCAATACCCTAAAAACAAGGATCACTGCTTCTCCCATATCCTTTGGCTTCACTTTGTTTTCCCCTCAAACGATGAACACTTCAAGCAGATGGATTCCCCTTTCCTCATCAGCTCTTCTATGGATGGAAATGAAAATGGGCCAGGTGAATCCCTCTTCTTCCACTCATCTCTCTCCATGGGTCTGCTTCCCCAACCGCATGATCTTCACATAATCCGTGAATCTAAATAAACATCCCTTAAAACACTTCTGTGCCTTATAGCCTTCTCACACTAGCATCTTCATGAGAGGATTGGAAAATGAAACCTAAAAATCCTCAATTGTAGTGAAGTAAAGAGATCCTCTGGGATTTGGCTGGTTTTATTAGTTTCTGTAAATGTGCTCACTTGTGTGGGTACATGATTTTAGAGGCATGTTTCCTTTTAAGACCATTCAATAGTAGTCACTATTTTTACAAGGGAACTTACTTCTAAATCTATCTGACATGCCTTTAATTTGCTCAACGTTGTACCTGCAGAAATAAGGGGTGTTCCCTGCAGACCCTGATCCGTCGACTAGAATGGCTGGCAGGCTTTGTCTTAGCCTCTGTGAAACAGGGCTTGACTTTTCCATTTCCTGTTCTGGTTTGTAACACAAAGAAATCTGAACATCTGCCAAATTTAGTAAGACACTTAATAGCTATTCTTGAAGTTCTCAAATTTCATCCATCCAACACAGCTTTAAAACTACACCTTCAAAAGTACAAGCCAGCATAGATGAAAGTTCACACCAGAAAAAAACTCAACTGTTTAGTTGCCCTCATCTCCCTATAAATTTATATAGAGTAATTTTCTACTGGAATTTTACTGAAAGATGTATTCTTTCTTATATGGTGAGGACACTCGATGAATCTATAACACAGAAATACTGCTAAATATTAACCATTTATTTTTAAAAAGTTAATGAAATGACTCATAGTTCCAACAGTCACCCAAGTGCATGTAGGTATGCATCCTTCTCAATAGCTTGTAGTTTATGTACATAAATCTATCTCCAACTAGATTTTGTAATGCTCAAAGATAAGGGCTGAATTGTCTTGTTTTGTGATTTTTCCTAAGCATAATGCTGAACCTCAAAAGGCTAAATGTGGGCTGGGGTTGTGGCTCAGTGGTAGAGTGCTTGCCTCACACATGTGAGGCACTGGGTTCAATTCTCAGCACCACATATAAATAAATGAATAAAATAAAGGTTCATCAACAACTAAAAATATATAAATATATAAAAAAGCTAAATGCATTCATGACAGAGGTGTTATTGCTGTGACCAAAACTGTCATTCTGCTTTCTGCCAAGTTTAATTCAACATTCAAATAATTCATAAACGGCTGTAAGCAGAGCTCAACTACTTTATTCTTACCAGAGGTGGACACACGCCTGATCCTCTGAGGAGATAAGGTTCGATCAGAACTGAGGCTCCGACTGTCACTGTTCCGCCTTAAACAGGAAACAGCAGGCCCCACTTTGACTTTTGGAGTGGGTGTTTTTCTCAAACTGCAAGAGTCAGGTTTGGATATGTTCCTCCCTGAGGTGGTGGTAGGTTTTGAAGCAGAACCCTAGGGGAAAAAAAAAAAAAATCAATTAAAATTTAATCCAGATCAGAGCTTGTCCATACAATTTCCATGTGTTATTAGCGATGGAAGAGAAACACTGTCTTAGCAGATTTTCCAGATAAACATTTAATTCTTATTTTTACTATGAAGCAATTAAAACTCTTCACAGCTGACTTTTCAATTCAGCCCGATCTGCCTTTGGACCCATTAATGAGGTTGTTCTCAAGTCCACCCATACCACAAGTCCTTTGCTGGAGAGTTCACTCTCTAGCATCTGATACTGACCACTCACTCCATCTTTCTTTGGTTTCCCCAACAGAGGTCTTTCCTGGTTTTTCTTCTGGTTCTCTGGCTATTTTTCTGGGTCCTGTTCTGTGTCTTTAAGTGCTAGTCTTCACCAGGACTCAGACTTGGTCCTGTTCTCTTTTCTCACCACATCGTCTCCCCACATGATCTCATCTGCTGTCTCAACCACCACCTCCACATTGGTGCATCCAAAATCCATATGTCCAAGCCAACACTCTCTCCTGACTTGATCCTATATTTAACTCCTATCTGCCCCTCCCCACTTTGATCCTTCAGGTACCTCTGATTAACAATAATCCTATTATTGTTGGTGCTAACAGTCCTTATACTATGCAAAATATCATTCTAAATTCTGAATACATGTATCAACTCACTTAGTAATCCCATGAGATTCATACTTTATCACACTCCATTTTACTGAAGAACATGAAGCACTTTCTAAAATTAAACTGATTTTACACATTCATCTCAGAACTTACCTCTTCTCATTCACCATACAAGCTTCTTCTGGCTGCTTCCTTTCTTACCTCTTATATCCCTCTTTTCCATCTCCCCTAGAATAAGCCAGCCAGCATGGTYTCCCACTAGGATTACTGAAGCTATGTCCTCAGGATCTCTCTGGTCTCACCAGCCTCCCATTCATCTTCCATACCCTGGCCAGGGCAATCTCTCTAAAATTGAAATAGGGTCAGACCTATTTCTACCCCCACCTTCCAGAAAAAAAAAAAAAAATCAACTTTTTTTAAGATACATCAAGCCCCTTCTAATATGGTAGCCTCTTCATGCTCTTCAGCTTATGTCCAAGCACCCCAGCTCTACCACACCCACTTATCTGGAGGCCCCCAAGTCAGAATATCTTCTCGTATTTCTTCATCTTTATACATGGCATCCCCTCCACCTAGAATATGTGCCTTCTACATTCTGGCAGTGATTCAACTACATCTCCCCCAGAAAACTTGATAATTCTCCCCACTGACCACACCCTCCTTCCTCTCCTGCAACACAGGAATCTATTTATTTTCCCAGCTTTGTATTTAACATGCCCTTCTAGCTTACTTTTTAACATTCCCCACTGCACTAGGCACTACGTTTGGGCAGGGGCTATGTCCTTTACATCCTACCAGCTGCCACCATATATGTGGCACACAGTAGGCACCTAATAAATGTTTCCATTCTACATTCAGGAAATGGGAGTCAAGCCTTACTCAGAGGACACATGCCAACGCTGTAAACTACCATCTGTGTTCTGCCTTCACATAAAGAAGAGAGGTCATTTTGCAGTGAATGATGGAGCTAGAATTTGAAACAACTTCAGAATTCATGCTCTTAATTCAGTGTTGCATACTCCCACGTGGACCCTTCTTTATTTAGTAAATCATAAGGATGATTTCCAATAGATACTAAAGCCCTATGCTGATGGCTGTTRGATCCAAACACCAGGTGAACTCAGTGCTAACTTATAGACCAATATCCCAAGGGAAGAGCTGCAGGTCAGGTTCTGAGATAGGAGAACAATACTAAATTGGCCAGGAGAAGCAGGGGAGAGTAGCAGACACACTCTTATCTTCTACTTCTACCTTAAAGCTGGCTGACCAAATCCCCCAGAGCAACTTTCTTCTAAAAATTAAAACAAACTTCTCATTAATTTACAAAAGTGAATCTTATCTTGCCTTTCAGAGCCACAAAAGCCCTGTGATGTATGTAACAGTGAGAGGACCTGAATTTGAATTTCCATTTTTCCACTTAGCAGCTTTATGAGTTTTAAATAACCTCTTAAACAATTGCCTTGTTGTTACTGGGAAGAATAAATGACAATGTATGTGAAGCACCTGAGCACTACTGGGAAAATTAAATAGCTTAACATACATACACAGTGACTGAGCCAAGTGCTTGGCTCAGAGCAGACACTGAATAAATATCAGTTCCTTTCCTTTTAGACACTTCACCACTTTCTATCACATTATCACAATTGCATAACTTCTTCRATGGGAAACTGCACTTCACACTTTGTATCAAAATAAAATTCCATCTTCCAAATAAGAACCTTTCTGAGGTTTCAGATAAACCCTGACCACCCAACAGCTTATGAGGTTGTAGACAGCCTCGAGTCAACTAATTTGGCCCACAGACCATACTGAAAATTAACATCCCTCTCCAGGACTCTCTTCACAGACCCTGGGCAAGCAGAGCCCTTGGGGAGTGCTGAAGTCACCCACGAACACTGCAGGTGACTAAAGTACACAGCCAGAGTCACCCACTCAGCTTTCAGAGCCAAGCACCTTCCCTTCCAGACATGTGGATACTGGAGAGGCAAACTAATGAAATCAAAGGGCACCGTGCTTAAGACAGGGTCATGGAAACAGAGTGAGTTCTTTACAGCAGTCCATAAGTACCAGCACCGCAGAGAACGTAGGGCTGTCCTTCAGGACTCATATCTAATTATGAATCCTAATTGCAGGATTCTGAAGGTGAAAAGCACCTCATCTCCAAGATGTACCGGGACCCCTTTCAACCTGAAGATCCTATTACCTTACTTGAATACTGCATCATGGGCCTGAAAAACATGCTTTCATTCTGCATGGGGGAAAATATAAGGTTAAGACTGAATGCATAAATCTGGAAAAAAAAATCCTCTAGCTTCAAAAGTATATAACCAATTTATATTCAAGGTAAATATTTAAAGAAACTTTACACCAGTTTTTCTGGTAGCCAGGGATAGATATRAAATAAAAGTCTCCCATAAATCAAGAAGAAATAAGTGTTCTGTTTCTATGTCTATCAACAAGCACCAAATTATAATTACAGGTTGGAATCAAGATGTTACTGAAACATAATTTAGCAAAATATTACAATTATAAATGATATGTTCAGTTTGATAAATTCTTTAAAAAATTTTTAGTTGTCGATGGACCTTTATTTTTATTTGTTTATATGTGGTGCTGAGAACTGAACCTAGAGCCTCACACATGCTAGGCTACAACCCCATTTCTGATGTTTTAAAAAAAATTAAAAAAAAAAAAACAAACAAAAAAGCTTTTAAACAAGCTTTAGGATGACCAAACCATTTGTTACAAATCTGTGGTGTACCATTCTTCCTAACAGATCTCTAAACTGACACAGCTGAAGAGTATCTTCAGTCTTTCTTAACCTTATCACCTAAAATAACCTTATAATTTCCTCCTTGTGGCCCCCGTGCACCCTTAAAACTGCTCTGAAACAGCCCATCAGCACCTGACCACAGTACACATTTCATCCCTCTTACATATGAGCCCTCCAAAGGACAGGCTGTCTGTGTTATGTCCACCTTCCTTCCCTGTACCCAGTTCCACTCCTGGCCCCAGGGACAGACACCTAAGGACAGCCTGCGTGGGGCTGAAAATACACTGTCCCCACAGCCAAAAATAGGCCTGAGGACAAGTACATAACCCCAACAGTAGCCTGTCAAAGTGTTTTCAAAACTCAGAAAACTAATGTCTTCATACTGTTGCCAAAATATATGCAAGTTTATAGAAAAATAATCTTTGMACTGCACATGAGTTCTTTATTTTTTTTTAAATGGACTGATCTAGTCCCTCTAAGTATTTGTTGCTATAGGAAATATGCTGCTTGTTCACTAAACACAAATAAAATGGATTTTATTTATTTCTTATACYAGAAATCAATACATTAGATATGCAAGAGACCTTAGAAATCTACTAGTCCAATCCTTTGGGTCCACAAAAATTACTTTCCCAAAGTTACATTAGCTTGTCAGAGACAGAATCAAGAATCAYATCCTTGTTCACAGGAGAGGGGTCTACTCCCAGAGGTAGGTCCTCAATAAAACATCAAGAGTTATTCTTATGTTTACTAGCACTCCCTAGCTATTTCTTAGTGTAGGTCAAGATATCTGAAAGTTTATAAACTATTTTCAGAAAACTAAATACCTAATGTAACCAGGTTATATTTTAACTTCAAATAACCAATTATAGTAAAATATTAAATTAACTTGTTCTTTTAACACACTATCAAAAGGAACATTGATATTCAATACAAAATACTGAAATGGAGGATTTTTTTCAACATGCAGGTTTGTTGTATGTATGACCTACTCACTCTAGTATGTATTGTCAGACAAAACAAAGAATTAACACCTGAAAGCATATTTGCACACCTCGTTCTGCCATATGATTGGATATTAATGGACCAATATTGCTCATAGACCCCAGTTTTTTCCACCACCCCTGAAGCACACAAAAGCTTTCACTTACCAAAAACAGGGAACCGTATTCAAAAGTCTGATTCATAACTTCCTTTTTTAGCTCTCGTTTTTCCAGAGGTGTCCTATTTTCTTTTTCACCCTTCTTTTCAGGGCTAATTCCATCGATGTTGGAGACATATGTCAAACATTCAGCACTTTCCATTTCGACAGGGAGTATGCCTTTCATCTTCTCAAAAAGCACAGCTACAGTCCGGGTCTCACAGGCTGCATTACAAGAACTTGCTTTGTCAACATCTTCCTGATTCGATTTCATGGCAGATGTTGTTCTTGGAACCCTGTGTGAAGCATTTTTAGCATGAGTTGTAACATGTACAGCCTGGCCAGTAATGAGTTTATTAAACTGCTGCTTGTGTGTCTTGTTAATTAGGATTTCTGCTTTTGTGTCTGAGTTCAAGTCAGATCTTGGTGTTTTGCTCAAAACTGTCAACTGCCTTGTGGAAGACACTGTTGAGGGGGATGAGACACTATTCAACTGAGATTTGGGTGTGACCTTTGGTACCGCAGGATCTTTGGACTGCAACACAGGTCTAGACATAACTTTTGCTTTGACATTCTTGAAATTTGGTCTTGGGTAACTTATAATTTCAGTTTTTCTAACCTTGCTACCTACAGAGATATTCGTTTTGGTGGCTAATTTTCCTAGGCTAGGCTTAGACATGTTCACAGGTGTCCCCTTGGATTTTGGCAAATTTTTAAGGTCTCGAYGACTCTTCTCCATTTTATTATATTCCTCTGTTGCTTCAACAGGCGAAATAGTAAAGCTTGCATTTGTGCGTTCTAGGATGGGCGTTGACATGCAAACTTTGTTATTTGTGCTAATGATCATATCACTTGCATCCCAAGTCAGTTCCAATGATGAAACCATCTTTTGTCCTGGTGAGCTATTTAATATCAGTTCTACACCATCATTTTGGGTTCCCAAATCCTTATCATTGGAAGCAATTTGTCGATCATCGGTCACAGTGAAGTTGTGCTCCGAGTTCAGCACTTGGGCTTTATTTTTATCAAAAGCTGGCACCAGTAAAGGGCATTCATCATCAATAACACAATCGGACACTGTTTCTCTTAGATTTTGGCCCATTTCCTTTTCACCATATGAGCTTTGTGAATGTGTCTTACTATTTGGTTCATCTTTAGAGAAACAATAGAACTCTTGTAATATAGACCCATTGGGGACTTCTATGCCATCGGAAACTGGTGTTAGTGCTTGTATCTCTTTTTCTCCAACTAGTCTTTGCTGTGACCCATCTGTGTACTCACTGGTGACCTTTCCTAAAGAATACTGACACTGATTTCCAATATCTGGAACAACATCTGTTTGCATTACCATGTCAGAAAATGTTGTATTTGAGGCCTCTGACGATGTGGCTTGAGGGTTTTCAAAGATCTCTTTATTATAATTAATTTCTCTCATATGCATTTTGTCAAAATGGGATGATGTCCAAGTGGAACAGGATACAGAAGATGTATTTCCACTTCTCATACAGGTTGGTTGAGGTCTTCCAGAGGTGTGCAAAGACTGACTCTTTTCACTGACATGATGTGTGATAAAAGTGCAGTTAACTTTATTCCCTTGTGTGTCAAAGGTTTTGTTTAACTCCAAGGCAGTAGTAGCGTAGTCTGAACAATTCAAATCATCATTAGATTTCCACATGAGAGGCAGAGATGGCTCAACACTCTGGTCCTGATCTGCTTCTAAGGAATGACAATCGCTGTGCTGGTATTTGGGCTTCTCTGTATTTATAAGTGCAGAAGACAGACATGTGGGATCTTCATGTGTTTCCAGTACCCGCTTACTAATGAAATCACTTGACTTTTGGTGATCGAGTACTTCAACACATTGGTAGTTTGAAAAAATACTTTCATCGCTGTCCAGAGAAGGGTCCATTTCATAATCGACCACCATGTCCTCTGGGTTGAGAGAACTCCAATTCACATGACTGATTGAAGAGTTTCGGGTAGATGGCGATTTTGGGTTGTATGCATACCTATTTCCATTTTTATCKCTGAAAAATAAGGAATGCGATTCATCTTCTGTTTTATCATCTGAATTATCATCATTCATTCTGGATATTGACATTAAACCTCTTCCATTTTACTTCTTCARTTCTTCTCAAACGAGAGGGAAGGAAAAATATTTGCCAGCCTCCTAACTTTTCAGCACAGTTGGAAGTTTTTCAGTTCAAGATACTTCAAAGGTGAAATGATTCGTTGTTCCCTGGAAGAAATAAAATGTTGAACTCAAGTAAATATTAGAAAAACTAATGTCACCCCTTGATTAATTTCAATCACTTTTTTCCCCACATTTAGAATCCACCACTTTTAAATATGTGAATAATTAAGAGATTGTTAGCTAATTGTCTATCCCCTTTTAAAGTTTTGGGGKTTTTTTTAGTAGGAACGAGGCATCAGAATGGAAAGTAGAGATACTGCTAAAGTCCCCGGGACACACCTCACAACTGATATGCCTCCTCCCTTGTCATAAGAAGAAAGCTAAGTCTGGCAAAGTTTTTCCTTCTTGTTGGTTGACAGAGTGACCATTCATCTGAACTTGCCTAAGACAGTCCCAACTTCTGTCCTTAGTCCCAGCATAATTCATAACAGTGTCCCTTTCTCAGAAGAGCCCCCTACCATTTCCAAGGAGAATGATGACCAGACAGACCACATGGGCCCAGCAAATGAGCTAAAGATCAAGGAAGATTTAAGGAATTCACATTTCTCTTTCCTCTCCTTCCACTTCTGTCTTAAACATATGCCATTTCCAAACTGAAGGGGGGAGAAGTTGTCGATTYTTTTTTTTTTTTTTTTTGGTAATGGGCACTTAAACACTGAGCCACATCCCCAGYCCTATTTTGTATTCTATTTAGAGACAGGGTCTCACTGAGTTGCTGAATGTCTGGCTAAGTTGCCGAGGCTGGCTTTGGACTCACAATCCTCCTGGCCTCAGCCTCCCGAGCCACTAGGATTACAGGCTTGCGCCATTGAGTCCAGTGAAGTTGTTGATTCTTAAAAAAAATGAAAGTGGTACTCTACTGAACGTTCCTTAAAATTTTAAGCAGAGAGTTACTATATGTTTACACTGACCTGTGTTTCTCCAAAATCCACAGGTGAAAGCCTAATACCCCCACCCCAATATGTGACTATTTTGGAGATGGGGCCTTAAAGAGGTAATTAAAGTTAAAACAATAGAACTCTTGTAATATAGACCCACTGGGGACTTCTATGCCATCGGAAACTGGTGTTAGTGCTTGTATCTCTTTTTCTCCAACTAGTCTTTGCTKTGACCCATCTGTGTACTCACTGGTGACCTTTCCTAAAGAATACTGACACTGATTTCCAWTATCTGGAACAACATCTGTTTGCATARRAGTGAAACGCTTATCCAAGAGAACTGATGCCCTGCTGAGAAACCAACACCAATACACTCTCTATTTCTGACCCCTTATGTCAGGACACGGCAAGAAGCAAGTTGCCTGTACAGAAGGAAAGGAGCTCTCATAAGAAACCAAATCCTGATAGAACCTTGCTTAATCTGGGACCAGCTTACAGAACTGTGAGAAAATAAATTTCTGTTATTTAAGCCACTCAGTTTATGATATTTTGTTRTGGCAGCCCTAGCCGACAAAGATTTCATATCACCCAGCTACTTTACTCCTAAGTATGTATTAAGAGAAATAAAAACATGTCCACACAAAAACTTGCAAACAAATAAATGCACACGATTCTTTAAAAAAAAAAAAAAGATGTTTATTTATTTGTTTTTTAGTTTTTTTTTTTCGGCAGACACACATCTTTGTATGTGGTGCTGAGTATTGAACCCAGGCCGCACGCATGCCAGGCAAGCGCGCTACAGCTTGAGCCACATCCCCAGCCCCACGATTCTTAATAGAAGTATTATATTGTACTGTATGGCCAAAAAGCAGAAATAATCCACTTATCCATCAACTGGTGAACAGATAACAAAATGTTGTATATGCATACAATAGTATTCTTGAGCACAGAAAGGAATACAACATTGATTCATACATACTACAACATGGACATGKGTTACATGAAAATATTATAGTAAGTGGAAAAAGTAGTCATAAAAGACTATTATATTATGAAATGTCCAGAATAGGCAAATCTATCCAGATACAAAATAGGTTAAAATGGTTCAATCCCTAATACAAAAGAAAGAAAGAAAATAGGTTAGTGGTTCTCTAAGGTTGAGAAAGGATAGAAGAAAGGGAATGAAAAGTGTCTAAATGGGATGTTTCTTTTGGGGGAGTGAAAAGTTCCAAAATTAGATTTTGCTGATAACCGCACAATGCTATGAATATACTAAAAACTATTAAATCATGCACTTAAAGTCTTAGAAGCACCCATAACAGCTTTCAAATCCTGTGATTTTTTGAAAATAACTAAAATTTTACTATGCTTTTTAATCAAATTAACGTGCTTAAGAAAGATCCGAAAGTTCAAAGTTGAACTACAATCACTCAAATCACTCATTCAGACACACATCCACTTGAACTGACTTTCTCATCCTAATAATCAATGTCAGCCAAATGTCATGGTGCTATTGTGAATAAAATATCCATGAAGGGGGAAAATGACACTCTGTGTGAGATCTATAAATTTTTGAATTAAGAGATCTCATTTTTCCCTTTTGCAATCTTTCTCTGTATTGAAACTTCAGTGACCTGAATAAAAAGAATAAAATCAGAATAGGAGCCATGAAGAACTGAAAGGATCAGTATCTTCTCTAACAGTGTTTTGTGTGTTTCTGGCCATGAATCCCGAAACCAACCTTAAATGGGATTTTAAAAACGCTGCAATATTTATCTCAACAGTGCATGTGTGCATGCACAAAAACACAGATTCTAAACTCCTAAAATAAGGGCTTTGTTATTTATATACCAATGGAAAACACAAATTAGTCAACTATTTTCACCAGATGACTCTTCAATTAAAAGGAATCACTGAAGCAATATTTTTATTAGCTAGGACCTTCATAAAAACTTTCATGAAACACAAATTAACATTTTAAATTCTCTGTTATAAAATATACTGAAGCTGAATGTTCAAATCAAGAAGTACATTTACTCCCTTTTGAGTTTACAWGTATGGAGTATAATTTCAAAAGCATTAAAATATGTTACACCTTTCAGCTTCCAGGAAGATGAATCCTCATTCAAATTATGCTGGTAGAAGCAAACATGAGCAAAGAACATTACAAAAATAAGTATTATTTGCCTTTATAAACAGGGTCCTTAGATTCAATTAATGGAATTTTTGTTAYCTAAGCTCTCCTTCTTCCAAAGTACGTAAAAAATGATTTAAAAAAAATACAACCTGTTTTAAACTGAATAAAGTAAACTGTTCATATGTCAAAGCATTTTATTTAAAAAATACACACATAATAGGATAAATTATACCGCCAGTCCCATGCTATTTGACATTTAAGTTGTTTCCAGTTTCTCTTTATAAATAGCCCTAATCTTTTTTCAATCTTTGATTTCTGATCATTTCCTTTAGAAAATCTTCTTGGAAATAAAAGCATTAATGAATCAAAGGGCATGATTATTTTAAGGTTTTTGACATAGTTTATCAAATTGGTAAATAAAAAAGTCAAGATTTTTTATAATGTATGTCTTAATATATGTGGATATATTAATATATGTGGATATAGATATAATCTGAGTTCCATTTTTAAACCTCATGCATCTTGTTCAGCATGGTATCACAAGCATTTTTATAAAGACCATGAAATTCCATTAAAGTTAAGACTAAATGTTGCAGATTTACAAAAAAAATCAATGGTTTATGTAGAGTAACATGAAAATAAACCCATCAACCATTCAACTTTCAGATGATATTTAGTATATTTGGGCTTATTTTTTTTTAATTCACAGAAACAAATTTCAAGTGGGTTAGCAAAGCTATTTTAAACAAACACAAAAAATGAATTTGGAAGATATACTTAAGGAGAATTTTGATATGGCATATTTACAGAAGTATTTTCTGTCTTTTAGATAAAAGAATTAGTGATACAGAGATCTGGATACCAAAGTTTCTGCAGTTAACCTTATCAGTTCCAGGATTGGTTAAAAGATCAACTGCACCATTCACTTTAGAAATCAATGCCTTGACTCACCATTACCATGAAGATAAAGACATAATCAGGAAAGGGCTGACCAGCCTTTCCAGTTTGTTGAAAGTTGGCCATCTGCCTTAGGATCAACCTCATTCCTCTCCCCCTAAAAAATAACACCTCAGCTTCCACCCACTATGAGCTAGACATATATTCTTTGAATTAATCTCACCTGGTTAAAGTTTTCATATACCTATGGTTGCAATATAATTTACCTCAAAAAAAAAAAAAGACAAAGTTACTGTCTTGGAAATATTTTTATCAAAGCAAAAGCAGAAAGAGAAAGGAGAGAGACAGAAATAAAAATTTGAAACAAATCATTCTCACCATAAAKGATAAATTCTCAACTTTCAGTACCACTAAAAGAACAAAGTATAATGATCAGGTTTCCTTTTAAAGAGAATCTTTTTTTTTTCACTTAATGTTTTTTATTTWTATGTGACARCAGAATACATTACAATTCTTATTACACATATAGAGAATCTTTGGGGAAAAAGATCTTTTTTGAGAGAATTTTGGATGAGAGCTATTCTGCAATAATTCAAATTTTGGCA